ATTACTTGGATGAAAATCCCCGCACCCTGCAGATTGGGGGTGGGAGTGAAAGAAAACAGCCAAAGCTTTCTCTGTTCTAAAATATAAAACACGTAGCTTTTATTAGGGCAACTCCGACATTGTCAATTGCACTGGGTGACATTGGGCCGCTCGCTCACTCTTAGCCTAACCTATTTCACATTGTTGTTGTGAGGATAAAACAGAGAGGAGGAAGAGGGTTACATAGACCATGAGCTCCTTGCTGGAAAGAAAAGTAGGAAATAAGTAAAACAAACAAATAAATAAACTCACAACCTGAGGAAAAAAATGGGAAGGGGAAGAGGTAAGAACTGGAGAGAAGACATGTAGTGGGGGGGGGGGGGGACATTAATAAAAGGGGCCAAAGGATAGACGATAATGAGACTAGAGATCTAAGCAGATTGACTCCATGTCAAGACAGCTAAAGAAACTAGGGAACATTTGAGCCTTGGCAGGTGGAGGCCATAAAGCAAGTATCTAAGTCTGTACCTCCGGCCACAGATGCAGAAGGTCTGAATCAGAATGACATCTCTTACATCTCTTCCTCTAATTAACATAACACCAGGAAGTTTCAATGAAATAAGCTGGAGCACCAAGCTCATTCCTATGCAATGCTTAATTTCTACACTGAGGTGGAGGTGCCAGAAAACTGCATTAAGTATATTAGAAGCTTATGGCCTGCTTTGCATGAATGCTAAACCATAATTGTTTTAATCTGTGGTTTGCTGCCCATTGGAGTTTGGCAGATGACTGAACAAAAATAGTTTGATTTTTCGGTCCCCTCCTACTTCACCTGCTTCCTCCCTGTATCCCTGCTTCCTTGGTGGCAGTGCAGAACTGGCATGTAAAGGGAAGGTGATTTTGGACTGCTTTTACCCACTGTCTTAGTAGTCTGAAGAAACAACCCATGATTCTAGGTGAGCATATAATGAAGAACAACCCACAGCTAACAAGCAAACAACATGGTAGTTCTTGGTTTGCCTGAAATGATAGCCTATGATCTAATAAACTTTGGTTGGTTTATTGTTATGTGTGGACCAGGTCTACATCTGACTCCAAAAAGGAATCAGCTCTGGTTACTTGGGGTAAAAGTCAGAAAACTCTGCATATTCTCGGATACTATCTCAGGGGTCTGTGAAGATAAATTATGGAACTAAACTATCTCAAGTTGGTCCCTGTTCCTAGTTACAAAGTTCATCCAAAAGTTGTTTTTTTTTTTTTTTGCTACTGCAATTCATGTAACTCTAATTCAAGTACTCTGTGATGGAACAGAAGGGACAAGGGAAGATTGTAAATTGTGACAGCAAGCCCTACTGGACACTGAGTAGGCATGGGTTGTCCTTATGTATGAAGTCAGCATACGTGGTGAAGCAAGGCGCATTTGCTTTCCAAGAAACCATGCAAAAACAATACAGTTTACTTAAGGTTTCCATGCTTCACCCTTGCTTGTCATGCATGACCCCAACAGCCATGTTTCCGTGCTGATTCCGTGCTTTCACCACGGCGTTTTGCAGCAAGAGCAGCCACAGATGCCAGGCTTGTCACTCTTCAAATCTGCCTGGCAACTGCTGAGTTGCAGGCAGCTGTGCAGGGATTGGCTGTCTCCATACTCGATTTCTTCCCAGCTGGCATGTAGCTTTCTGATGTGCAGCTGCAGCGATGGGGTCTTGCCAGCCATGGGGCATTACACTGGGCTGCACTGCCTCTAGCAGCAGTGACTGCAGAGACAGCCGTGCTCAGTGCTGCTGCCTGGTCACTGCCCTGTGCTGGAGCAGTGCTTGTGTTTGGTACCATGTTTGAGCCGTTCTGGGAGGCAGCGATCTCCTCATGTAAAGGGTACCCTGCATGCAAGGAGCACACAGGCAGCATGTGGGACCTCACAAACAGGGTACACATTCCAAGAAGACAATGTCTCCCATTGTCCCTCATCCTCTGCCCTGCTCCCCCTATGTACATGACAATTCTTGGTGTCTCTACGAAGCCCTGCTGCCTCCCCTCACACAGTTGTGGGACCAACACTATCTGCAAACTTTCCTGGGCAGATTCTATGATTCTACAGAGACATTAAAAAAAGAAACTGGACACCCATCTGAATGGGATAGTGGAAATTGGTGTCCTGCAACGGTTGGACCCAATGGCCTTCATGGCCCCTTCCAACTCTACTGTTCTATGATTATACAGATGCCCAGACTAGCACCCTTGGGTAAGTCAGGCCACTAGGGTGGCACTCTTCTTCCCTGGCATGGCTGCGCCACGCTGATGCCTTCCATGCGCCTGCCTGCAGGGGGGTAGTCCTTGGCAGTGTGTGTGGGACCTGTGCATAGGGGAGCATGGGCACACGGGCAAACATGGGAGTGTACTGACATGTTTGCACAGAGCAGGGCTGCACACAGGAATGTTCCTGTATGGCTGCTCTGGAACCAAAGTGCTACTCCAGTAAGTGGGCAACTGCCTTGTTGAAATAATAAACCCAGAAAAAAGGTATGCAAGGCCATGTCCAGGGGAGTGTGCGGGCCGCTGACAGAGAGGTGCCAAGGCAGGCAGGAGCAGTGCACCCTGGGATTGATTTTCAGTCTCAAGGGCTGATGGGATAGATGTGAGCCATTAGGAGGGAAGATGGAGAAGCGTGAAAACCATGCATGCACACAACTCATGCAAGTGCGTGATCCCAAGACTAAAGGTGAGATATGCTGTGCAGTTACAGTACATTGTGCATAGCATTGCTTAGCGTTGTGTGTGAATGCAGCCAGTACCATGTCAGCCAGTTTCTTCTTAGAACAAACTGCATGCTCCTCTGAATTTTCTTGGGCTTGCACATGTAGATCCCTTGAATTTCCCCACGCTGAAATACTGTACAAAAGGTTAGAAGGCTGAATCTGAGAGCTAATTCCATTGCATCGCACCTATAAATGTGGAATGATAACAATGCTTTATGGTACTGAGGAGCGTTCACATGCGCAAAAATATATTCCCAGCACCCCTGCCAGGGCCATCTTAACAGCATTATGGGCCCCGGGCAAAGCAGTGTACTGGGGCCCCTACGACAACTACTAGTTAATTTTGGAAGTTTTCCAATTTTCCAAGGGTTAACCTACACAGATTAGTATGGGGCCCACCGGCAAGTGCCCATCAGGCCCATGCGTTAAGATGGCCCTGACCCCCGCATCATCAGAAATGGACTGGAGGTGACTTTTTAGAGCGCGTGTGCAGCTGATCTGGAGAAATGCTGCCTGTCTTGGGTGGCAGTAGGCAGGACAGGGTGGGAAGCATCGTCCTAGTGGGGTTCCATCTAATTTTATGTTTTTGCTGTCGGTGGGTGCAATTTTGATTTGTTGAGACTTTTCCTCTAAGCTGCGGTGGGATTTCTTTTTCTAATTGGAAGATGGTATACAGAATACTCTTACTCATAAGAATTGCGGGGGGGGGGAGGCGAAGTCCGGCCTTCTGCGCACAGGCGGCACGATGACCCCCCCCCCCCCACAGGTGCTATCGTCCAAGGGGCCGACGCGGACCTCAATTTGCACTCACGGGCGCGCGGAACTCACGCGGTAGTCTTCGATGCTTTGGGGTTTACTGTAGCTGCAGTCTCGGAAACAAAGCCCCGAATCCCTCGCAGCCAGCTTCGAAAAGCAGACCGCTTGCACCAGCAGCTGCGCCACGAAGGGAGCCGAAAGGCTTGGACCTTCTGGGAATAAACCTGCGTGACTTCGTAGGGCCCTCTTGCACCACCGCGGTTTATTTGCGGGCGGGCTTGGTCAGCACCGTAACTGCTGATGGCTCTGAGGCACTTTCAGAGAGAGTCCTCCACATCTCTGCTCTGTTCCCAGATCTCATGCTGTGCATTCATACGCCTGCAGAGACAGACGCACACTCATGCACCTCGTTGCCTGCCGCAGCCCAAGCAAGCTCAGCGTCTAAATTCCCAACGGTTCCTTTCTGCTACTGGGGCTCCGGGAGGGGGAGGGAGTACGCGGTGGCTGCGTCACGTCGGAGGAGCTACTAAGGCTGCTGGTAGCGCCGTGCACCGCTCCCAAATTAACCCCGGCGGCGCTACCTTGGGTCTTCCCTCACTTTTCTTTGCTCTGCCTCCTCCCCCACAAAGCCGTTTGGGAGAGAGCAAGCACCCGACGTGCACCTCCGCCATTTCTCCAATAATTTTTATTTTGAAAAGCGGAGAGAAAAAGCGTCGACCGCTGGTTTCTTTCTGGGCAGGAGGCGCCTCCCTCCCTAAATAACGGAGCAGAGATCAGAGCAGAAGGAGCAAGAGGCAAGGTACGGTCGCGCGAATCGATGCTCTTTCCTCCGGGTGATGTGGGTGGGTGACGGCGCGTAGCGAGCACCTAATGGCCAGCAGCAGCACGGGGGGGGGCGACGACGACGACGCTAGCAGCTTTTCTGAGTCAGATCTCGGTGAAGCGGTGTCCGCGGAAAGGGTAGGACGGAGGACAAAGGAGGGAGGGAGACTGACTTAGAGGAGAGAAAGGGTGGGGGATGCAGGGAAGCCTGCTGATGAACCAAGCGGGGGATTGTTTATCTGCCCAAGAGATGGAGGCACGTTCCTCAGGAGGGCCACAATGATAGAGTGGGCTAAGGAGAAGAGACGAAAGGGAAGCCGGTGGGGCGGGGGCGGCTGGCTTTTGTGTCCACGGGCGGCCGCCTGCCCACCCTGCAACTTCCAGAACGAGCCCCTCGCGGGCAGCTCGCGCATGGCGTGCCTCATTGCGGTGAAGGTCTGAAGCGCCCGCGCAGCGCCTCCGCCGTGCCCTTTCTCCCCCTTGCGCCCACTCGCCCTCTCCGCCGCCGGGTTGGGAACGTTTTGGACAGCAGCAGCAGCAGCAGCAGCAGCAGCGACACCTCCTTCGGAGAAAAGCCTCTGGGCAAGTGCTCTCCATTTTTGGTGCAGTCGCGGTGTTCTTTTGACCCATCGTTTGCGTTTTCTGCACGTGTGCATTTTTTCAGGGCTCGGTTTCGTTCAGAAAAAAATGGTGAAGCTGGGAAATAATTTTAGCGAGAAGAGCACAAAGCAGCCCCTCTTGGAAGATGGATTTGACACCATCCCCTTGATCACGCCCCTGGATGTCAATCAACTACAGTTCCCACCTCCTGATAAGGTACAGTATCCCTTCGTTTCCACCCCAAACAATCACACCCTGAATTCAGACAAACAACAAAAGAATGAGGTACCATCTAGCAGAGAGAGCTTGCAAAGCAACATTTTAAAATCTAGGTTTCAGAATGTTTTTAGTCTTGAGAAATACATGGAAAGTAACAATAAGTTTCATTATTTTGCCCGAGAAGTAGGCTCATATTATTTATTCTCTGTTACTTAAACTGCATAATAAGATGTCTGAAACATTATTTTTCATATGCCACTATTTTCATCTTTCAACTCTAATGTAATCCTGCAATATCAATGTACTGTGCCTTGCAGTCAATGAATCTGCCTAATGGAGTTACACCCTCCTTTTCTTTAAATGCAAGGGAGCTTCAGAACTCTGTTTGGACACCCCACACCCCCAACCCTTTCATTAGGTTCTTCAAGCCTGGAGGGGCCTGGGCCTGCTTTCACACAACTGGTCTCTGTAAAAGCGGTGAAAATCCAGCATTGGCTTTAATTTATAAATTCATTTTCTGTGCTCTCTTACCAATGTTTTAAGGAAGGCATTTTCTTATAGTGGAATGGTGTCCTTAGAACAAAGCTACACTATAAATTTGACCTGCTTTCCTGTTCAGTCCTGGTCTTCTGGGAATGGCAGCGTGCACACAGAATGGCTAGTGTGGCTGATGTGTGAGGAAGGAACAACCATGACAAAGAATGCTCCGTACCCTTGCCAGGCTGTAAGTCCTAGATTTTGTGATGAAGCTGCATTAATTGATCAGAATAAACCAAGAGACTTTTGGAGAGACCCACTCTGTAGAAATATCTCCCCAGGGAGACTGATTTGGTGGTCAGAATATTTTTGGTGCTGGGCAAAGTGCCTGAGTTGGATTCATATCGGTGATATGTAGCAGCCCATCCATTTCCAGGAAAATGCTATAGAGAGGGCCAGGAGACTGCTGAACTGGTGCAACTGGTGAGGGGAGGAGGGGATTCTGAGAATTGGGCAGAGACAACATCTGGCCAGCAGAAGCAAATCCTGGCTCTAGCCTTTTCTGCTGCCAAGATATTAGAATTAAATTGTTCTTCTTGTTGCTGTTCTATTCACTTAGCAGTTTGTGATTATTTTTGTTCCTGTACTTTGTATTATACAGCTTTTTATTTAATTTCTATGTGAATGGCCCTGCAAACATGCTCAAAGGACAGCATATAGCATTTTAGAAATTAAAATTGTTTGGGAGAATGTCTGGAGTATGTTCTGAACCACTTTAACTAGCTTGTGCAGAAAAGTTGCAGACCGTGCTGAGAAAGGGATTTGGTAAATATAATGTGGATACGCTCTGGGGCCTGGCACTTGAGAGCAGGTCTGAACGCAGTGTCAGTTGTAGTCTTTAGTCTTTGTTGTAGCTGCTGCGCGTGCTTCTGTGCTTTTGTCCATGGATGGGTGTGGCTCTTGCCCACTAGGTACTACTTCACAGGCACACTAAGCCCAGCTACTCACTTGCTGCTGCAGAACTATGAAGACGGAAACTCCCAAATTATGCCTTCCTTATCAAATGTGGACTATGATAAGATAGTGTAAGTTCCAGAAGCAGATCTGTATGCATGCCTTGTCCTCTGGAAAATGTTACTGAGTTAGAGTAGTTCATACAGGCTTTCAGGAGCTCATTACTTTTGATGAATGACCTCCCCCTTTCCACATCAGAAATTCTTAAATATTGGCACATGGGAATCAAGTACATTTGGCATTCTGTGGTTTTATTTGATCTTATAATTTGGAGGACTCAATTCTGCTGTCAGTTTGTCGGTATAACTTAAGAAAAATTGCATGATTTGAAACACATAGGTCTGGAAAGCAAAGCTAAGCTTTAAGCTCGACCTTACTGTACTTGGATAAGTGAGAAATGAGCATTTCTGCCCTGATGAAAACCCGCATTGGTTTTACCCTGTGCACCATACTTGGTTCCATGGGAAAAGTATTTAGGACATCTGAGCTTTATAGACTTCCAGTGACATTGTTTCCTACAGCTGACTCTAGAATTGGGCCTTAGTCTTTTCTAGCTCTGGTTACTACATTTATGTTGTCCCTGCCATTAAAATTAATCAATGAATTTACTCTGCCTTTCACTGTTTAAAAGGGTAGGTTAGGGATATATGTAGTTTATGAAGTCTGTGTTTCACAGATTGTCAGGCACCTTATGTTTCCTTGTTTGCTCATTGACGGAATCAGATTTTTTTCTCAGTTTTTAAATTTTGTATCCCCCCCCTCCACGCAAATGTGCACTGTCACACTTTAAGTCTATGCGGGTCGGTGTATATTTATTTTTCTACAACCAAATTCGTGTAAAATTTTGGAATGTGAAAAACTGCTCTGGGAGTTTCGAATTCATAAAAATCAGCACCCATTTGAATCTACTGCAGATTTTCCTGACATCCCTAGGGCATGTACAGCTGCTAAGCCTGCATTTTGAAGAAAGGCCAGGTTGAAACAATTACCGCTGTCACATCTGGAGGTAGGGTCACCTGGAACAGGTTGCTGCTGATACCGATTTGGATGGTGCTTTCTGCTGAGTCCTACTCACTCCCCACAGAAAGCCTCCTGTATTGGTGGTGGGTTGTCTCCATGAAAGCTACACTTAAGAGTAGAAATATTCTTGTCAGGATGTGATTTAAGGCCTTTCCAGTTGAGGCTTTTATCGTGCAACATCCTTGCCTTATTCGCAGAATTTTATGGCGGGGAGCAGTAGGAAGGGGCTAGGATTCTAACCTGACCTGACCTACCCTAATGACACAATGTTCTTGCCACTTCCCTCCTGTGTTTCCTTACTACGCCTTCCATCTTTTTATTACAAGGAAATAGCCATTAATGAGGAAAACGTAACATAGCTTGGATTGGTAGTGATAGGAACCCCCTGTCTGGAAGCAGCCTTAGTTTTTTTGCTCAGGGTTCTTTGTTTCTGTCCCTCGCTTTCCCCAAGCAGTACCCTAACAGTAAAGACACCTGTGGTCATAGATAAGTATCTTCCCAAACAAATCCCAGTGTTGACTTCTATGACTTATGGTAGCATCAGAACTATGCTATGGGTGTATCCAGACATTAACAATGAACTTGCTGTAGAAGCACCTTTACTGCATTTTGTTTAGCATCAAATTTTCCCTGAAGTATTAAGCTTGGGGCCAGTCCTGTTATTTCTGTTTGTGACACTGATTGGCTGTCTTGTGTGGAATATGTGGAATACCATATTTTTCCATGTATAAGATGCTACTTTTTCTTAAAAACATTTACTTAAAAATGAAGGTGCATCTTATACAAGGGGGGCCGAAGGCTTGCTGGCGTGCGCAGGGTCGTGGCGAGCACGGGCAGGGCGGTGATGCGCGGGGGGAGGCAAAGTGGCGTGCACGGGCAGGGGGGCGGCAAAGCAGTGTGTGCACGGCGGCGGCAGCCTGTTTGCTGGAGATGGGTAGGAAAAGTGGGGGGCATCCTATACATGGGGGCATCTTATAGATGGAAAAATACAGTAGTTTTTCCAGCTTTTAAATGAATGACAATATTTTTAAAAATAAGGCAAAGGATTAGTGTGCAGTTCTGACTTAAATTTAAATTAATTAATTAATTCAAATTAATTAATTAATTTTGACCCTTAATTTTAAAACAAATGCACTAAGGCAGAGACTCTTGCTGAAGCATGTGGAAGAGGGCCAAGATGATCGACTGAGGTAGTATTTCAGAGAATGTTCAAAATACAGTTTCAGTTTTGTAAATTATTCTGGAATTCTCACTTCAGGCAAACAAGGAAAAACACTTTAGGACCCACAGTGCAGTCTGAAATATTTGATTTAATTAATTGTATAAATGTATTTTAAGTCCCTTGTCTTACCATTTGCGTCATTGTTACAGCCATCTATTTGTAGGATGCAAGTTTTTATGCCTTTTCTCAAAGAGGAAAGATGCTAGCATTAGCAGGGATTGATAGGCTCAAAGTTGAGTTCTCCACTACCAAGATCTTTAGCGTGCTTTCAGATTAGGCTTAAAGGTTGACTAACCTTTGGCACTATAAAAACTTCTTTGACATTATATTCTGTGGGGATTCAGCTGATGTTGTCTTCAGCTTGGAACCCTCTGTTTTTTCCCACCTCTTCTATCTTTTTTCTTACTGTAGAAAATCTGTGAAGAGTTGCATTTTCATTCAAAGATTTAATTTTTGGGATGGAGCTACCTGTGAAGAGAATGTAGCGGGTTAACAGTGTACCCTTTGTCATCCATGGGACATTGAAACACTATGTCTGTTAAGCATCTTGTTTTGGCAGGTACAAGGAGTTTAGATAGGATGATAATAGTACTCGCTATTTAAATAGTATTTTGTATATATTATCTCATTGGTCTTTAATAAAAGGCCCATAAAGCCACTGGTATAGGCAATGTTTCAAGCAGGGCACTAAGATCCAAGGACTTGGCTATGGATACTTTATGAGTTCACAACAGGGTGAGATTTGCCCTTGGGTATGTGTGCGCAGCCTCTTAGTGCACAACCTGTGCATGGTTAGACAAAAGTTCTGCAACTTCCAGCACCCCCACCTTAACCAGCTGGGAAATTTTCCTGTCTAAAAATTCTGTGTGTACAATTGTACCATTAGCTACTATATATGGCTGCTTTCAGGACCCCCTGAATCTCCATCAAGCTTTCAAAATGACCTCCTCTAATACCAGTTTCCTAAAGCTTTAAAAAGCAATATGATAATGAAAAGATGTTCTGCAAGGATCTAAGTAAGCTATCCAGCATTTGACTTAGCATACTCTCGTGAAACTGGGTTGATGCTGAACTCACCGGGTCTGATTTCCAGTTAACAGTACAGAGTAACCTTGGATTGTGAGTAACTTGGTCTGTGAGTGTTTTGCAAGATGAGCAAAAAGTTTTTCTAAATTTTAACTTGATAAACGAGCGATGTCTTGCAGTTCGAGTATTACACGCACTTTGCCTGCCAGGCAAAGCGTGTGTCACAACTGAGCGCCGGTTCTTCTCTCTCTCGCTGCAGGGTTGAGTACTGCATCATCTTCCACCCCCACGCCCCCAGCGTGCCCACAATCATGCCCATCCCCGCAGCACACCCACCTCCCCCCCAAGCACACCCGCTTCAAATTTTTGTGATAAAAAAAAGCTACAGACTGGATTAACCTTATTTACACTGAACCTTCTGGGGAAATTTGCTTTGATATACGAGTGCTTTGGATTACAAGCATGTTTCCGAAACGAATTATGCTTGCAATCCAAGGTTTTACTGTAATGCTATACATGCTTATTCAGAAGGAAGTTAGGAAATCTCATCATTTTCACTGGGGCTTACGTAGAGGTAAATGTGTACACAAGTGCTGCTCAAGCGTGCTTGCACAGTAACGTGGTTCCATTGTTCATGGCATTACTCATATCAGGTACCTGGATAGTGGCATAATGTCACTATTGTAAGGACAGAACATTATATGACTTTTTAAGATCACAGTTTTAGTTGCTCAGGAAATGAACTGTATGTGTCTATATATTTCTAACACTCTGTAGTCATAATTTCCAAACATAAAGATGGAAAAAGCACATGTTTATGAAACTACTTAAAATAGTGGTGAGAATACAGCCTCTGGCACAATCCCTAAGTAGTCTGAGAAGGTCAAAAGACATTGGTAGGAGGGACAAATGCCACGTTCTGCACCTAGAGAAAAGAAACCAGATGCATTGTTACAAGATGGGGAATACTTGACTCAACAATACTGCAAGTGAGAAGGATCTTGGAATTGTTGTAGATATACGAGTCAATGATGTGATACAGCTGCACAAATGGCAAATGCCATTTTAGACTGCATTAATAGAAGTATCACATGAAGTACTAGCTCCCCTTTACTCAGCACTGGTTAGGACTCATCAGGAGTACTGTGTCCCATTCTGAGCACCACAGTTGAAGGAAGATTTCACTCCTATCTGGCCAGTCGATTCCAGAAGGTGGTGCTCTGCGCCATGGCAACTTTGCCATGGAGTATCAGAGGGAACTGTCTTGTCTCCCATGCTCTTCAACATCTACATGAAACCGCTGGGAGAGGTCATCAGGAGGTTTGGGCTGCGGAGTCATCAGTACGCTGATGACACCCAGTCTACCTCGTTTACATCTAACCCAGGTGAGGCAGTGACTGTACTGAACAGGTGCTTGGCCGAGGTAATGGCCTGGATGAGGGCCAATAAACTGAGACTCAATCCAGATAAGATGGATGTCCTTCTGGTGGGCGGTTTGGGTTTTCAGGTAAGTGATTTTGGTCCCATCCTGGACAGGGTAGCACTTCCTCTAAAGGACAGGGTCCGCAGCTTGGGAGTGCTCCTTGACCCAGAACTATCTCTGGAAATCAGGTGATGGTGGTGGCAAGGAACACCTTCAGCTTCGGCTGGTCCATCAGCTGTGTCCTTACCTGGACGATCACTGCCTCGCAACAGTGATGCATGCCCTGGTAACTTCCCAGTTGGATTACTGTAATGTGCTCTACGTGGGGTTGCCCTTGAAAATGGTCCGGATACTTCAATTGGTACAAAATAGAGCTGTCAGGTTGCTGACGGGGGCCGGTTGTTATTCTCATATAACGCCAGTCTTCTATAAGTTACACTGGCTCCCAGTTGAAGTCTGGGTCCAATTCAAGGTGCTGGTATTAACCTATAAAGCCCTAAGCGACTTAGGTCCAGAATACCTGAAGGATCGCCTGCTTCCCTGTATGCCCTCATGCCCCTTAAGATCAGCAGGAGAGGCCTTGCTCCGGGAACCCTCTTTGAAGGAAGTATGGAGGGTGTCTTCCTGGAGGAGGGCCTTCTCTGCAGTGGCACCCAGACTATGGAATGCGCTCCCCAGAGAGGTCCGCCTGGCGTCGACATTATACTCCTTCAGGCGCCAGGTAAAGAGCTTTTTATTTAACCATCATTTTAATAATCAAGGATTTTAGATGTTTTAAGATATTTTTTCTCCTTCCCCACAGTCACATTTTCTATTCCTTTCTCCCCTTTTGTTTTCTCTTAGTTTATGATGTGCTGTTTTATATTGTTTTAATAATTGTGGTTTTGTTATTGTATTATTGTAATTTTACATTGTGTAAGCTGTCCTGAGCACTCGTTGGAAGGACAGGATATAAATGTTTGTAACAAACAATAACAAACAAACAAAGATGCAGACAAGCTGGAAAGGGATCCAAGGAGGGCAAGAAGGATGATGAGGGGACTGGAAACAAAGCTCTGTGAGGACTGGGCTTGTTCAGTCTTGAGAAGGGAAGACTGAGGCAAGATATGATATACCCTCTACAAGTACTTGAAAGGTTGTCACAAAAAGAAAGGAGAGGATCGCTTCTCGATCATCCCAGAGTGCAGAACAAGGGACTCAAATCACAAGAAGCCAGATTTTCCTGAATATTGGAGTAGTGCAGCAATGGGACCAATGCCCTAGGGAGGTTGTGGGCTCTCCCACATGAAAGGGTTGAAGATGCAGTGGGACAGCCATCGGAACGGAATGGTTTAACCTGGAGTCCTGCACTGAGCAGGTGCTGGGACTCAGCGGACTTACAGGCCCCTTCCAACTCTACTATTCTGTGGCTAAGGACATGAGGGACCTTAAAGATGACCTTGATTTTTTTTTGAAATACAGCATGTGGAAATGCAAGATTGTAGTGCTAGGGTATGGAATACCCTTTCCAAAGATTACCTTTCAGCAGATTGGTCAAACATGACTTTTAAAGTTTTTGGTGAGTTTACCGCGTTGCAGGAAATGTTTTAATGTTGTGGTTTGAATTCTTGTTGACTCTTGTTTTGCTTGATACATTGTTTCCAAATTTTGCTTGTGTAAGCTGTCTTGAGGTTCACTGACAGAAAGGTGGCACAAGGGCATGTGAATGTTTGTTTATTGCATTTGTATGCCACCCCATAGTCAAAGGCTCTCTGGGTGGCTCACAGTGTGCAATATAAATTTATATAAAATACAGATAAAAATAAATAACAAAAAGAAAACTATAAATCATAGTAAAATTAAAATACATTATAAATACAACCATATAAATAGGAAACAGGAGGAAAATAAGCACAATATGAACAATAACAATAACCAACAAAACAGTAAACAATAAAACAGTAGCACCAAACCAACAATCCAATCCAAAAACAGATACTAAATAAAAAAAGGACATTAGCCAGAAACGCAACCAAGAGTTCAAGGATAACCCTGAAGGAGCTGGATAGGTTTGCAACTGAGAGAGAAGAAGCTGTTCATAGGAGAAGCATCATCCTGTGCTCCAGAATTCTGAGCTCTGTCATCATCCTGGGAACTTTTGCACAAACTCCATTGAAATGAACAGGTGTCATTTCTGTGTATTTCAGTAGATTCTTCTTTTCCTGGAGGATTATATTTTTCAAGGCTCCAGGGAGAAAATGGGATTTTACTGGTTTGTTGCATGCTGAAAATGTTGTTCTTTCAATAGACACATTGTGACCATTGATATTTTCAATATATAGTACTGCCTGATTGAATTTCTCCTTCCTTCCTTCCGTCCTTCCTTCCTTCCATCCTTGGTATTGATGTGATTTTTGATCACTTTATATTTTTGTGGCTTTGGATGTATGAGATGCTTATGACATGTAAGTAGAGGAGCTGTACAACTAATGCAGATCTACATACTTTTGTCATGGTGCTTAACTATATTACAGGCTATATTTAGTGTGCAAAGAGACAGACTGATGCACTGTAAGACTTGGCTGCACTGATGTGGCTATTGATTGATCTCCCATTGATGTCTTTTGAAAAGGTGGTGGTCAAGACAAAAACAGAATATGAACCTGACCGCAAGAAAGGAAAATTCCGTACTCCCAAAATAGCTGAGTTCACGGTCAGCATAACTGAAGGTGTCTCAGAGCGGTTTAAGGTAGGTAATGTCATGACTCATTTTTCAGCGCAGCAAAGAGATGCCAGGTTTATTTGCTTATTGGATTGCATGTCTATTCCACCTACCTTGCTGCAGACTTCAGGTAGGCTAGAGATAAACTACAAGCACAGAAGGTAACTTTAAAGTGAGGACTTAGAATTTTAGTTCTTTAATGGATAAATTACAGTGAGGTTTGCCAGAATTCCGTAGAAGAGGCCACATACTTTTATGCGAAAAGTTATTATTACAAAGTTAATAAGAGCTTGGGGCTTAATCCAGCATGGCTTTCTCTTGCAGAAATCTTGTTCAAGCTGAATGCTTGGATAGGGGTTGTGAAGAATTCCACACTGAATAGTGCCTATGCTTCCTCTAAATCAATATATACTGGTATAACTTCTTGCACTTTTGCTCCCCTCCCCAACATTAACCTCTATTTTCTAAAATGTCATTCTTTCTCATTCTTTTCTTTTCATTGTTCATATTACATGGCAGGCTGCCCCAGAGGTTTAGGGTTAGAACTTAGGAACTTGGCCTTGGTGTGTGGCATGTGTTGCCATCTGATGTTGTAAACTTGTAAGTAGCCACTGGCCTGCTTGCCTGTGGCAAGGATGAATTCTGTCCAGGTGATCAGCCACTGAAGCATTTGTAGTTTGGATAAAAGCTTGTTCTTTGCCTTGCAAATCACTGAAATATGTATGTTTTGGCAGTACGGTTAGTATCAAATTCCATCAGCTAGCAATTGTGGAAGGCCTGATAAAAGCTTGACAAAGAGACAGTTAGGTCCTTCTTTGGAAGATTGGATACCCTCAGTGACAGAACAGTAAGGCTGTCTTTTACCGAAAGAGATAATGGATTTGGGGCCTTTCTGAATGCTGCTGCCCTTACTGCACTTCTTAGACTAGTTTGGGAACTGTGTCACTGTCATGGAATGTCATCCCCCTTCAAAATATGAGAGGAGGTGACCTTGCTGCTGTCAGCTTTTTATTTTTGGGTGGAAAGGAACTGGACAATATTTGCTTTATTGTGGACTTTGAAAAGTACTAACTCGTGCCTAGAATGAATCATTATCATACCACTACTCAAGGAAATAATAGGGTTTAAAAATACCTAATCTGTGAAAATTTATTCCTAACTGGGAGCTTTAGGGCAATCATGGTGTTGATCTATAGAAAAATAGCTTTAAGCAGCCCCTGCCCAGGGCACACATGAAACACACACACTGCTTGCAATTAGCCCTGTTAACACAAATAATACAAAACTAACACTTGCAAAAGGATCCTGCTAAACATCATTGGCCTGCCTCATCATGGAATTTTATAGGAAGTCCAGACACTTGTAACCCGTCAAGTGTTTTCCCATCACTTCTCCTATGAATATCTTTACCCCAGAAAACTGCTAAGGAGGAAAAGTATGTTTTGAAATCTTTCTTTAGAAGCACCTGCTGTCTGTGGTGTCAGCATCAGTTCTGAGACCTAATTTGTGCCAATGAAACTCATGAAATTACATTTCTGGAGAAAATGGTTTAGGAAAGGTACAGGTATACAGGGAGCCAACATGAAAGCAACCATTTGTGGTTGTGCAGAAATACTAGCAAAGATTTATGGATGGTTTGGGAGTACTGCCAAATAACTGTAGGGGTTAAAACATTTTCTTAGCAGTTGTTTATGACTTTCTCTGTAATTTAGGCAGGGCATGAAACCAGGCTGGAACTTAAATTACATTGTGTTGCTATATTTAATATAATATTTATAATATTGAAATTGCATTGCGTGCCCAAAGATGGACAGAGGTGGTATTAAATGGACGTGGCCAAAAAAGAAGAAATGGTGCTATAAGTTCCATAACTAAAAATTCCTGTAAAAAAATTAGAATGTGTTCATGTATCACAGTAAGTCAGAATTCCAGAAGATTCTGGATTATTGTATGGGAGCAGAATGCTGGGACGTTTGTCTTGTATTTCCCCAGACATGTCAGACTATGGTTTGTTCCTGGCTTATGATATTGGCTTGAATGGGGAGAAACAATTCAGAATTCTTGGTTTGTACCAGGACAGAAGGTCCACACAGTGGCTACTCTGGGTGGGCATGGGCAGAATGAGAAGACACTTGGTCTCTTGCAGGACCTGCAAGGGTGGAAGAGTGGAAAAGCTCTTTCCCAACATCCCAACTGGGGGCAGGCAAAGTAGGAAGGGAACCTGCAGGGGTATAGGGAAAATACTCCAAGCCCCAGCAAATTGGATTCCTTCTTTCCACTGTACTTGGGATAGAGTTGAGGCAGGAAGGAAATGCTTGACGCAGGCAGCATTTGCAGGATCTGACTGCTAGGAATGCCAGCCAACTCCCTCCCTACCTCACTTACCTACTGCAAGTGAGAACAGCTAAACCATGGGTCCTCAAACTACGTCCTGTGAACTGCGTTCGGCCCGCCATGCCCATTTATCCGGCCTGCCTCAGAGGTTTTGGACTCCCCATGCCCACGTGCATGCCCGCTGCCACCTGCCTCGCGTGCAGGCAGCAAGGCGGTGGCTCGCTCGCTCGGAGATGGTTTTGGACATGCTGGGAGATCGCCAAGCGAGCGAACCGCCACGGCACACACCTGCTGCTACCTCACCGGCCCACCCCTGGGCACCTCCGCCTCACCAGTCCACGCCCGTTGCTGCCGCTTTTCAACTGGCCTCCTGTTGAAAAAGTTTGAGGACGCCTGAGCTACACTCACAGATGGAAGATTAGCTTTGCAAAGGGAACACCCTTTGTTATCTCCTGATTGGAGATAGCCTAGGATTCTTCTCCCAGGGACTGTGCTTGGGGAAGGCAGAGTCTGCAGGCAGCGCTCTACCCTCCACAGGCTCTTTTGAGCAAAGCAAGCTTGCTGGTCCACTCACAATAAACACAGTAACAATAACAAGCTTCTCGCTATTTCTTCTTTTAAAATTGCACTTCATGCCAGTTGTTCTGTGCAACATTGTACCCTGCTAGTTTGACCTGGTCCTTGTTAAGAAGATTGTCTGCACTCAAAGGTTGCTAGTGCTGACAGATGCCACCTCCAAATTGACAAGCCATGTCAATTTGGACACCCAAACCAGAAACAGTGTTTTGAAGCAGTTCTGCAAGCATGGTTAATGTTAAGCGTGATTTGCCATGACTTCTCAGTTGGAAAGCCACTGGTAAGGCCATTGCCTCTAGAGGAGGAGCAATCTCAAAAAGTAGGTCAGAGTGTTGGCTGGACAGAGAAGGAAAGCAGCACTCAGTAGAGGTCCCCGATTTTAGTGCTCCTTCTTCACGTTTCAGTCACCCAAAATCTTAGTCACACTCGTGGTTCCATGTTCATTTGAGCACTCAGAGCAGTTCACACCATAAGTTTAATATGTAAGCAAATAAAATGATTAAAACTGAGTGGTTCAGGAAATGAAAGATCTTCCTCCCCATTATCCTCCCATCCAAAGCACCCTCCTCGTATTCCATTTCTTGTAAGCGTGTCTTGATGGAAAGACTGATTCATCCTGCAAATTGTAGTCTTTGTCTCAAGGGCTCCTGCAAATTCTAAGTACCTACCTCTATTTTATTCTTATTTGTGTGCTTATGTATTGGTTAAATGTGTATCTTGCTTTTCCACCAAAAGTTGTCCAAGACAAATGAAAACAACAAAATACTTTTTAATATACAACAGACCCCATTCAGTTTGGCATATGTGTTAAGGGCATTCCATGTTGATTCCAGCACCAACATGCTAGGAAATGGTCTGTTAAGGGCCTGTATCAAAAAGCTACGGAGAGCTTCTTTAGGATAAGGTGGATTATCCATGTATTTCAAGCTTGTTTCAGACCTGGTTGGACAGAGACTGCATTTTTTTTGCTTGGTAGACTGTCTGTGCCAAGAGCTGCATCGGACATGTCAAAACACCACTGTGGCAGGATTTGGATATCATGACAACCCACATTTGTGACTTGAATATTCTGAAATTACCTGGTATATGTCAGTTTGTGCCACAACCCAGTGACATAGGGGTATAGTATTCACAGGAAAACACAACAAGAAAGCCTTAGATAAGGTAGTAAGATAGACAGTGGGCAACCCTTGCTACCAGTGGGCAAACTTTGCTACCAGATTTATTCATTCCTTGATTCTCATTTGTGAAGAGCATTTGTACATTGCTTTTCTTTTTAAGAAAAGTACTCAGGCAGCCAGGACTACACCTGTGGTTACACCCCTGTTGAACCATCATTTGAGCAGCTTTCCCCATGTGTTCCATGTGTTTCCACCCACAAATTCTTGCTAGCAATGTCCAAACAGCAGTATTCCACATGCCTGTTGCAGGCACTGCGTCCTTCTGTAAGCTGAAGATCCCGTGCTCTCCCAAAGTATGTAGATACAGAGACTGATAACTAAAGAAGCAGTCATATTCTGTTGTCAGCCCCTTCCCTTGCAAGGGCAGTTGTGGATGAGCAGGCATGTCTGAAGGAACAGCAGACATCGAGGAAACCTGTAAAATACACTTTCTGCCCCTCAGTTTTCAGTTTTGCTTTCTTTGGGCGCAGGATGCAGTGAGAGTGCAGAGCATAGGGCTGTGCCCAAAGAAAGCAAAACCTGAATACTGAGGGGCAGAAAGTGTATTTTACAGGTACCACCATGTCCCCTCACACTGAGTATTTTATCTAGACAGCTGTTGTTGGCACCATTGATGAAGTACCAGGGAGGGAAGAGGCTGGGATGCTGCTAGGAGTTGGAGGAAGTCTTCACCCTCAGCCTATTCTCCCCATGATGCCTGCTTTTCCCCCTCCAAGGCCCAGTTGCAGCCAGGGGTGGGCAGCCAGCAGGAACCTTGTTGCGCTGGTTGCGAGTGGGGCAAGGCAGGAGTTTGGACTTTGGAGTCCCAACTCTGACATTCAGGATCTTAGAGCTGGGACTCCAAAAGAATTCTGCAGCATCACAGACAAAATCAGGGGGTCATAGGATTATGCACTTTCTGTTCTTATTAATATTCTATATGCAATTTAAATAATT